GGTTCTGTTACATACTGAGCCCATTGAAATTGATGCCAATGAAGAAATCGAGACACAGTATGAAGATGAAGATGTTTTTGCCTTGTTTAGGGATGATAACATCATGGATTTAGATGCCCCAACCCATCTTGTGGCAAAATCTAATGAACAGATAGGTGAAAAAATTTGGAAGATACTAAAATCATGTATTTGGAGGCTCCAACCAGTGTTGAGGATGTTCAGAATGAACAAGAGGGAGAGACACATGAAGAATCAGATAGCGCTTGTGATGTGACAGGATTTACATCTGATAAAGATGATGAAATTAGAGAGATAAGAGCCAAGTACGAAGACATTATGTCAAAAATGAAGAAGAGTGTAGAGATTCCAGTGGACACTGTAACACCCTAGGTGTTAGGCTTGCATAATTGCACTTGAATTGCATGAGCATAAGCATCATTCATTCATGCATAAGCATTTTTATATGAAACATTGCTATGAAACATGTGAAACATACTATTGTTCTTCTATGTTTCATTGTATATATGCTTCATGATCATGTGTGGCTAATGCAAGTGGTGATGTTTGGTCACTAAAACACCTTAGCTACACTTAGGATGCCTAATGGAACGATGTTCATGTGGATCACTTTACCTAATTAAGCTCCTAAGTGATGACATGCTTAGTTTGACCTAGGATTTATATGTGACCAATGTATAAAATGTTTGTGGGACCTTAGGAGTACCTTAAACATGTTTAGAAAATCACATGGAACAATTTTGGTATTCATGATTTGTACCAATTTGGCCTCTAAGTCATGGTTATAGTGTAAATTACTATTTTCATGATGTATATTTGACCTAAGTTGAACTATAGCATAGAGTGTTTCCATGGCAGTGTACTCTTAAATAAAGTTGTAGTACTTGAGTAGTGTAACAACTTTTATTTTTGGGTCATAGGCTAATTCAGCTCCTAACATGCTTGAAATTGGTCACAAAAGTCAATGTAATGCTGTTTGAAAACTTGGAAATATTTCTAAGTCTTGCAATGTTTTTCAGATTTTGTGTAGGGTACTTTAGTGCCTTATAATTTGAAAACCGACGACTTAGATGTTATTCCCTAAAGCAAAGTTAGAGTTTACATGCAGCTCTACAACTTTTATTAATGGAGCTTTTGCTAACTCGCCACGGTTTAGGAATTAGGAGGGGGTGATTAGGCGCTGTCAGTCGCCTGATGATGGGCCTGATGGCCATCTCGGCCTGGCCATGGTGGCCGACCGGGCGCTGGCCGCTGGCGCGATGTGTCGTCCGTACGTCGGCGCCGGGTCCACCGATCAGGCTGGAGGAGCAGCAAAGACGCCACGACGCGCTGCTGCCTTCAATCGCTCCATCCGCACTGTCTCGCTGCCGCGCGCGAGCCACAACAGCGCCACCGCCATTGCCACCGAGAGCCCCACCACCGCCTAGCTCTCTCTCCACCGCACCATTGCCGCCTCCTGCTAGCCAATAGCTTCACCGTCTTCCTCTCTACCTCCTCGACATAGTTGCTGGACCAGGCAAACCACGGTGAGGGTGAATTCGCCGTTCTTGTCCTCGCCGGAGTCGCTGTCTCCATGGTCGCCGTCACGGCGAGCTCGCCGCTGCTCTGCTCCCTTGATCCTTCTCCTTTCTTCTGCGCGTTAGCACTAGCTACGGGTGTAACCTAGCCTCGGGGGTGACCTTACGGCGAACCGTAGTCTCGCCGGAGTTGAAAACGACGCCGCGTTCTCGCCGCCGCACCGCCGCGCACGCGGACGAACCCCGCCGGCGCGTCCACCCGAACCCTAGGTAGCCTCGATAGGCCCATGTGGTCACCACGGAACTCTTGCGCCCCTCTCCTAGACCTGCCATCGATGCAAAAATACGGGTCACAACTCCGGGACATGCTCTGTGAAAATGGTGTTTATGTGAATTTTTCCTTATTATTGTAATGTATTGTTTCACATGAGATGAATCTAACTTCTACTATATAACAGCAGGAGGACACAGGGTCGCATAATCCATCATAACAAGCTGGCACTGAACCTGAACAATCCAAGCAATAAAAAAGAAAGCGTCCCACCACATCTTCAACTCAAAGCAAGAGGTCTGATGGTTATGGATTATACTATAATGAAATGACAGATTCTTCCTTTACCCAGGTTACTAAGCTGTACCAATCATTTCAAATTAGTTGCATATACTATTACAGCAAAGTAAATTGAAATATCTTTTTTCTATTGTAGTCTGGCCAAAACAAAAGGTTGGCTTCTTTTTCAAGATGCAAGTCAACTGATGAAGCATCAGTAAAGGCATCTGCTGGTGAGAGTGCCTCTGTTGTCATTGAGACAAATGCTGGAAAAGGTGGCGCAAAGGCAACCATCAGTGTAACAAGCGACCGTGCATCTGCAAATATTCAGTCCACTTCACTTGGACGTGGATCAGTAGCAGGACAACACAGCTCCTCTCTGGAAAAAAAACAGGAAAAACAACTTGAGGCCTCAAAACAGAGCATCGTGTAATCTCAGTAGGCATTGACTGTCAAGGTCAATCTTTTGTGAACAACATTTTCTATGTCAGCTGATATTGAGACATGAGACATTTTATTTTCTCGCAAAATCATTTGATTTCAAAAATCCTTACATGATTATCTACGGTCCTACAGCCACTTACAACAACTGTGCTGGTAGAGTACATGGGCTGTGCTGACGGAGTGAGCTGCTGTAGCAAATGACGTCGGACAGAGGATGAGATTGAATGGAAATTGCAAATTCAAGGACTAAAGTGACCATTTTGATAGTTGAGGGACCAATTTGAATTTTTGATGAAAATTTGAGGACGAATATGGCTATTTTGCCCTTGCAAAGCAAGTTGCAACTTTGGAAGGATTTAAATCAGGCAAGCAAGCAAGCAAGCAAGCACGTGTAGAAGGCACTTAAGGAAACCATCGTCGCCATGCCTCCGGATTATGTCGTCCACGGTTAGATTAAAAGGGAGCATGATTCATGCGATTACCCGTTCTGTGGACATGGGCAGGACAGCAGCTAGCGTCCGTGCTGTACTCCTGAAAAATCCTCTCGTGAACTTGGAACTTGGAGGTCAAGCACAGTCGGATGTGGGATGCACGAAAAAGGGAGATGGAAGGACACGGTGGGTCCACCTCGTGATCTCCTGTTATCCCGTCCCCGTAACAATAACGGACTGCTCGATCACGAAAAAAAATAGTAACTGACTGCTCGATCGTGCTGGGCTTAACGGTTTTCATCACAAAATATATTATTATTATCAAATCAAACCTGACAGCTCTCGTGCTTGCTGGACTATCTTTTCTTCCTGGGGCCTTGTTTAATTCCCTTCAAAGTTCCAAGTTTTTACACTCTCTCCATCACATCAATTTTTGGACGTTTGCATGGAGCATTAAATGTAGATAAAAAAATAACTAATTATACAGTTTAGTTGGAAATCACGAGATGAATCTTTTGAGCCTAGTTGGTCCACGATTGGACAAAGTTTGCCAAATAAGACGAAAGTGGTACTATTCATCGGGTTGAAATTTTTTTCAATCTAAACAAGGCCTGGGACTGGGATGGGAGGAGATTCAGCCGCATATAACAATAAAAAACAATAATGCTCTTTTCCTATTTGATTTGATTTGATCGCCACCATTAATTATTTTGATTCAGGATAAATGTTGAAACGGTAATCTGCAGATAAAATCTGTATGGATCGAGACGGGCAGCGCGTTATTATTAGGAAATTGTATACAAAATTAATTATGGGTTGCTAATTCTATTCATCATCCGCCTGCTCGTTCAAAACACATATATCACCAATGAAAACCATTTTTTGCAATCATTTTCATCTGTTTGCGAGAAACAATAATAATAATCAAGGCCGTTGTCCACATGGGACTGCCGTTTTCTTGACTCGCTCCAAATTCTTGGAACACGTCCACGTCCTCGTCCTGTGCTACGATCCAATACACAAACACGCATCAACTTTCAAAAATACGGCTCCTTTTGCTTGCATAAATATCTCAATATCATCACAATCTAGAGTGGGGCAAAAAGTGGACACCGTCTACTAATGTGTACTCTAAGTAATGTTCCCTGAGAAAATTGGGTGACATTGGAATGGACAAATTCACAGTACACGCCATACCGTCCAGACGCCTTGTTCGCTTGTCTTATGAGTCATACTTTTTTAACGAATAAATAGTATTTTTCTCTCACAACAAATTAGTCAACAGTACTTTTCAACCTAGCTTATCAGCTAAGCGAACAGGAACAAAAATCACAATATATAGGCGCCACACCGTACAAGACTCATCTGGGAGTTCGTGATGTTGCTACCTGTACTGATGTACATACCTTTTTCAGGGTAAATCTCACAGTAGATATACTTCATGTAAAATCAAAACCATAAAATCTGAGTTACTATAAGATCTATCTATCTATGCAACTTGTCCAAGTCCAACCGGAGTTTTATAAATTATACGCTCGGTGATTCAACATTTAGGTCCTCTTTGGAACGCACGAATTTCATATGGATCGTTTAGTAATTTCGTAAGAATCAATTTATTTTCAAAAGAAAAACGCAGAAAATAAAAAAAAATCTTTTTTAGCAATGGAGGAGAAGAACTGTGAGGTTCTACCGGGAGCAAAAAAAGTATAAACGGTGAGCAGAATTGTGCATGAGCCAAATATCTAATCCGAATGATTTTCCAGTACATAGCCGCTGCCGCTGCCTTGTTGTCTCCTTCTGGACCCCACTCCGACCCGGAGGAGGGTGGGGCCCACCTCGATCGAGAAGGGAAAAAGCCGAAAAGAAGACGAGGACGACGAAACGCTCAATACATCAACCCATCATCCCAACTCCCCGCACCAATTCCTTCCAACTTGCTCCCAAATCCAAACGTGAAAAGGCTCCGCGTCTGCCTGCGCCTCGCTGCTGCGGTTTGATTGCGCTCGCGCCCCCCGAATCCTCTCGCCTCCCGCCGCCGCCATGGATGACGACCACGACCACGACCACGACCCCGACGCGCCGTCGCCGGCCGCCGGGGAGCGGTGCCCGTGCTGCTGCTCCTCCACCTCCTCCGCCTCGCCGGCCGTGCCGTGGCGGCGGTCCGTGAAGCGGAAGCTGGGCGCGGAGAAGGGCGGGGAGGCGGGCGGGGACGAGGAGGCGGGCCCCGCGGCGCGGGTCGAGGCGGAGGACGAGTGCGCGGCGCTGCGGGAGGCGGTGGCGTCGGCGCAGTCCGCGGCGTCGGCGCTGCGGGCCGAGGTCGAGGAGGAGCGCCTCGCCGCGGCCAGCGCCGCCAGCGAGGCCATGGCCATGATGCTCCGCCTGCAGCGCGAGAAGGCCGAGGTACAGATGGAGCTCCGCCAGTTCCGCCGCTTCGCCGACGAGAAGATGGCGCTCGACGCCGCCGACATCGACCAGCTCCGCGCGCTCCTGGCGCAGCGCGCGCGCCGCCTGGTGCGCCTGCGCGCCAGGCTCCGCGAGTACAGGCTGCAGTTCATCCACCTCGGCATCCCGCTCCCCGAGGGCGAGGACCTCGTCGCGCAGAACGCCGCCGAGGAGGAAGAGGACCTCCTCCTGCTCGAGGGCGAGGACGGCTACGTCGATGGCGATGGCGGGTACTACCCTGAGCTCCGCTGCAACGACGGGGAGTACTACTACTACGAGGACGGGCAGGAGGAAGAGGATGCGGTTGCCCTCGATCTGGAGCGCCGGATCTGCCGCCTCGAGCACGATCAGGAAACTCGCCTGCTTGAGCCACCCCTTGAGGAAGAGGAAGAGAAAGGCACCCACCTCTACACAGATGAGGCGTTGCCGAACTTGTCTGGGCATGAACGGGGTGGCATCTATACTGATGAGGTGTTATCTGAGGAGGATGTGGAAGCAAGGAGCAACCTCCACAATGATGATGAAGAGCTGCCGGAGTCTCCTACTGCTGGAAGTGGTGATGGGGAGGAAGCAGGCGAGGCTGATGGTGTTGACAGTGTAAGTGGCAGTGGCAGTGATAGGGTGTACACCATTGACAAGGTGCATCAAGGTGCGCCTGCGCCTATTGCAAGGGTCATGGATAAGTACCAGGGCGAGGCAGTGGAGCCAGACATTAAGAAGCTTTACATGAGGCTGGAGGCGCTGGAGGCCGATAGGGAGTCGATGAGGCAGGCCCTTGTGGCAATGCGCACAGAGAAGGCACAACTTGTGCTTCTTCGTGAGATTGCGCAGCAGCTTGCCAAGGATAGAGTTCCAGTTGGGTCAGGAGCTGGGGCAGGGCCAGGTGTACACTCTTCGCCTAGAAAACGCGCAGTTGGGATTGTAGAAAGGAGATTCACAGAGGACAAGAAGGCGGCACTTGTCAAGACATATTCCATGGTTGCCTTGTTTAAGGTATGCTGCTTGTTTTACTGATAGGATACTGGCAGTCCAAAACATTGCAAGTTTTGCTGGAGATCTCCTTCATTTAGTAGATTATTAATACTGTGTGGTTTATTAAGATCTAAGTTATGATGGTTGTGTGCTGATTTAGTATATAAATCACTTGTATATTCATTCATTCGATCAAGTAGGATGCTGCTAGCTAATATCTATGATCACTCTAGCAGATATTTGAGCATATTTAGGAATTGTTGTTTTAGAATGATGCAGAATATTGCTGTTGCTGATGCAGTATGTAGCTGTTCATTTTAATAGTCTGTCCAACTCTAAAATTCAAATGATTTTGCTAGTTGGCCCTAAAGTAGCAATGTTTCTTTTTTTTGTAACAAATTAACTATGCTTAATATGATTATCTATTTGCAACTGTTTTCAAAGTTTCTTTTATTAGGAGCCAAAGTAAGGCTGTGTTTAGTTCGCGAAATTTGGGAATTTGGCTACTGTAGCACTTTCGTTTTTATTTGGCAATTAGTGTTCAATCATGGACTAATTAGGCTCAAAACGTTCGTCTCTAGATTTCCAACCAAACCGTGCAATTAGTTTTTTTTCGTCTACGTTTAATGCTCCATGCACGTATCGCAAGATCCGATGTGATGGCTACTGTAGCACTTTTTGGGAACTAAACACAGCCTAAGTTGGGAACTGCTATTTGCTGTACACAGTATGAATTCAAGCTAGGGTGGTTCTGTGCTATATTAAATGCAGCACATCTGAGCTCATTCATTCTTTGGTACATCAATGAAGAGATAAATTTGGAATATCTGATAAATTTGGAATATCAGTCTGCATAGTTCTTGCTGACTGACTTGATTGATTGAAATTAATTTTGCTTATTGCTGTAACATAATTTATTCCAGATATATTTTTTAATCCAGTTCTGCTCACCCTTGAGCATCTGTTAGAAAAAAGTATTCAGCATGGGTGAAACTTAGAGGGTGTTTGTGTGTGTGTTTAGGGGGGGTGTTGATGTTTATCATATAGTTGTAGTGCTTGTGGCAATGGCTTGCTGTTCAATCGTGGATTGTCAGACAATAAATGGCAAGCTGCCCACCTCCCTGTGTACTTTCACTGTCCTGATTGCTTTTTGCTTGTACTAAGGGGTTGCCTATTTGTGGGGTGAGATTGTTTTTTTCTTGAGCAGTCACACTTCTTAACCATGTGACCAACATACCATTAAGGCACTAACACATGAATATCTACCTAACATAAAAGTTGAGTAAAGTAAAATAAATAAATAAATAAATAAATACTGGCTGTAGGCACTATTCCAGAAGCGCTTAATTAGATTGCTATATTATACCTCTACATAATGTTAAATGTTCTTGAGCTGTGAGCTTGTGAAATTCCTTTGTGCTTACACGTCCTTTCCTGTTCATAATGATAACCAAGTAGTCTTTTCCCAAACCTAAGTATTTGCTTTTATTTTTTGCAGTGGGTCCTCACTTTATTTGGCAAGAAAAAGAAGCTATCTCAAAGCAGGTAGGAGAGCCTTCAATTGAATTCAGTTCATGCTATATACTTATTTTATCTGTAAAGCATGGTGATATTGACTACTTTCCTACTTGGTTGATAGGTATACTTTTGGCTTATCAAGTAATAATGTTGGTTTGCTCCTACTCTTGGATAAGTGCCCACGGATCCAGAAAACCCTCACAAGAACAAAGTAAAACCTGCCAAAACAAGCAGCAGCAGCTGTACGATGTAAATAAATAGCTGTCAGTTGGGAAATTTGCACCAGATTGCATTTTTTTTGTTTATGTTGGGTGGAGCCAGAGTTCTTTCGATTCTTTAGTTGATGATTTTCCATTTCCCAGCTTGGGTGATGAGGATATTATGCGTTGGTCTCGCAATTGTTCAAGTCACAAAAACGCTTTTGCTTCTTTCTCACCAGCAAGAGCTACAATGCATGTATAGTGCGCTTGTAATACACTGTGGTGGTTGTTTTGCTTGCTTCCAGGTTGATGAGCTTACAGGTCCAAACTCCCAACTTTTGTGAAAAAATGTTGTATTCAAAGCAAGTCTGCTTATGCTTGTATATGTTCAGGTTTGTTGGACTGTCCAATCTGTTTAATCAGAAATTTGTGTAAAATTCCTGATCTGAACAGCAGCTGCTACAAAATATCAATAATTATACTGAGGGTACTGACTACTGAGGGTGTGTTTGGACTTGGGATACGTTCTATCCACCTCAATTTGTGTGGATACTAATGTATCCAAACAAGCCTTGAGTTGGTAGGTGGAACCAATACAGGTACGCTGTTTGCATGGCACTTATCTTTAAGCTCAACTTCTGACTGAAATCTGATACACTGGGTAGCTGGGTATCTTAGCCGAAAAAAAATCTCACAGAACCTATGCTACCTGTACAATTTGATTCGCTTGCAACAATTTGAGTATATGTACACGTAGGGATCTGTGGGTTGAAGTTTCTGACTTTTTGTGAAATTCCTCATCTAGATGTTTGACGCTTGAAAGCTTGAGGTAGTTATATAGGAGTAGTACCGAAATGTACTGAAATTGCCTGTGAATAACAGATCCAGACATCTAGTCCAGGTAAGAGTCCAGGTAAGCAACTTACCATTGCATTACTCCTTTGCTTGTTCACGTGTATATAGTAGTACCGAAATATACTGAAATTGCCTGTGAATAACAGATCCATAATATGTCAGCGAACCCACATGTATCCGAGTTAAAGTGCTGTTTGTTACATATGTGTTCTGGTACTTAAAAAGGAGTTCAGGGCAGCACAACATTTGACTTCACTCTTACAGGCAAAACACACACCAATAATCAGTAAATAGGTAAATACAATAGCTGACATCATTGGTATATATAACATTTCCATGATTCCATCATTCAAACTAGTAGAATGGAAGGAACAAAGGGCGTATCCAGTGCAGAGAGCTCTTGCTCTGTGCGGGGTCTGGCGAAGGGTGTCAGTGGCAAGCCATATCCTCGTCTGTGCAATGCGAGGAGACTGCGACTTGAACCCGGGACCTTCCGGTCATAGGCGGTAAGACTCTACCGCTTGCACCAGGCCTGCCCAAATGAAAGGAACAAAGGAATTAATTAAATCCTCGAAATCTGAACCAGGTGGAGAATGATAGAATGCAACTGATTTTGCTTGCTTCTTCGATGGGCTCGGCTTCTGCTATGTCAATTTCTGTTATATCAGCACCGTTAACTTAATTGATTGACGCTTGCCAGGAATTAACAGATGTAATTAGCCAGAGAACCTTCAGATGTAAATAGCCACAGAACCTTCAGCTTTGATGGCCATCTTGGTGACTATTGATAACATTAGTGTTACAACAGTAAGAACATTGTAGCTTTCAAATTCCCATCGATAGCATTGCCTGTGAGTCCCAGTATTCTTTGGCCTGCTTCACCATCACACTTCGCTCTTCGCGCAGTCTCTGCGCAAAGTAATCTTTGTCCCTGGTTAGACAAGAGATGCAAGTTAGATCTAGAACACACATAATTCTTTCTCACAACAGGTGCAGGTTAGATTCCAATACCTTCTCTTGAGGAGTAATTCGAGTTCAGTCATATGCACAGCACGACCAAACACACCAACCTGAAGATCGTCAAATCCAAATCATCACCATGGAAGATGAAACAGTGTACGGGTGCAACTTTCGTCATGTATTTACGGGACAATTCATTGTTTAGAACGTAGCATGAATGCCAAGGTAATTTATGGTGACGTAAAAGAAAAAACTAAACCAACCTAGGACGAACTATGAGGCTTTGTATTAAGAAGAAAACAGGAACTATATTTTCCTTGACGATTTATGGGTGATGTAGCAAAGGTGATCAAAGAAAACATGTCACAAATGGAAGATACCACTAATAGAAGATACGTTTCACGGCAACAAGGAGACTGAACAAGAATGATGTCTGGCAGCAAGTAGGACTGCTCACATACCGCTCGGCATACAGGGCACTTCGCCTCTGGAGGTGCCGACTTGACACCCTGGAAGATGTAGACAGAAGCAGCACCACATGCACAGGCTTTGCAGAACAGATGCCCACAGCTAAGTGCGTAAGGGTTGAACAAAGTGTCCTGTACACATTGTGAGTGAAAAAAATCATCACAAATGGACGTTAAAATCAGCACACATATATTCAAGCAAACTGAAGAGAGGAAAAAGATACCCTGCAGAGACAACATGCAAAGTTTCCACAGCAAACTTCCCTACCAACAAGGGCTACCCTTTTAGTTCTATGATATTTATCAGCCAAAGAAAACGGAAGTTAAAGAATATCTCACCAAGCAAATCGGACAAGTTAGGCTGTACTCATACTTCAGAGTTTCAGAAATGGTCAATGCCAGTAGTGGCTGTGCTCCACTCAGGTCACAGGAAAAATTCTTGAAGAATTCATTCTTGAAGAACCCTCCAGCTCCAGGTTCATCAGCGTCTGAATCATCACAGTTGAGATGGAAAGCACCAAGCTCTATCAGCCAAGGTGACTGCAACAGTTCAATATGCTCAGTTTGCATCTTGCTCTTGAAATCTCTGCCACTCACAGAACCATGTATCTGCAGGATTATAACTATATAAATACACAAAGATACATTGTCTACTGACAATCAGGAGATCAACACTTACCTTGTCATATTTCTTGAGAATTTTGCGAATAGCAATAGCATTCATGGTCACATAATTGAGAAGCATTCTGCCTTCTTGAACCATTATTTGCTGATCATCTATGAAACACTGCCTAAAACGCCATATACAGCGTTGTAGTCCTGAAGGGACATGAAGATGGAGGAGGCGTTGTACTCTAGATCTGAAACAACCTGCTATTTCTGATGCCTCCTTGTTGAGTTCTGTAAAGAACAACCTATCACACACTGAACAAGAAAGATACTAAAAGTTAAAATCACAGTAGTATAAGTTGTAAGACAAGCATAACAAGATAAAAAAAGGAGTAGCAAAATGTAAAGTTATGATCTTAAGTAAACTATTCTAGTCAGGCAATCTAGTTATAGGTTTCCAGCTATGAATTTATATGGTCGGACCAGGAATAGTCCATAGTTAGGTCAAACAGACATAAATACTCGGCCACCTAAAACTAATAATATTTTCAAAGCAAGGAGTCCAGTTGTACAAAATGAACAGTTGCACAAAATGAAATGGCTATTATTCTTTCATGGAAGAGAATAATGACTGTTGTCATCTTTCTTTGGTTTTAAAATCTCGTTTCATCAAGTTGATGCCAAATTAGTCCATTTTTATCATAAAAATATGACCATTTCCTCAAAAGTTCCGGAGTTGCAAATTGTAATAAAATCACATGTGGTTCAAAGTAGCAAACTAAATGGCAAGTGCAAATGATTTTTAACTATGGTGATAATACATTATTTTGCTTCCATATCATAAACACAAAACACGCGCATCAAGATGGAGGAGCAAGGTCTGCAATGGTAGACTATGGGCATACATGTGCATGAGTTGCATTCACAAATGTTTGAAGATTCGTCACTCCCCTCCTGCTGCTCATCACCATTTGTGCCATCTGCTTGCAGTGAGCGATCAACTCTACATTTCTTCAATACCTTCTTGAGGCGTTTGTATTCGACATGGGAGCATTGTCCTAGGAATTTGTCCTGCTCTGCCCGGAGATACTCCTCATATGTGGCGCCGAACTTCATCTTGTCTACTGGAAAAGAAAGTGATAATTAACTAGCCATGCAATGTTGAGGAGATTATGCACTCCACCATGAATTGTAACAACGAAATAAATCAGCAGACACTCAATGCATTATGACATCTAATGAGCACATTGGTCACAGTATTTTCAGCTCCAATTTTTAATCTGTCATCTCGCAACTAAAATCTCACAGGAGAAGAGATGTTTTTAACATGCAAATGCACTTTCTTTGGGAATAATTTAATTTTGATCATAATTAGCAGCATGCATGAATTAACTGATACAGATAACTGTATTCTGCAAAAGAATACATGGCATAGAATCTAAGTTGTAACGGATAAAAAAATATCAAATAAAATGGTAATACACAGTGAAAGGAGAGGCTAAGCGAACGGATTTAGCTATAGTTCTATATCCTTTTTTTATGGACCATAAAAATGTAAAATTGGTATCCAGAAAATGTAATAGAGAATATGGAATTATAACTCCTGCTGCATGCTAGCCAGTAGCCACAACATCGTTGCCAGGCACCAAATGGACCAATATTATAATCGTGCAGAACAATGCGGTTGCTGACTTTTGAACCTTAAAGGAAAAGACATGATCTTATGGATCCAAGGATATATTATAAATAACATCAGTGCCAAATTGTGCAAGAACGTCAACATCATTGCACCAGCAACGTAGTATTGAAACTAACTGAATGTAGCATTTGGAATTTCCTCAGAGACGGCATAGCTTAAAACCCAAATATGCATATAAACATATATATTGACAGTTGTTTCGGGAAAAAGAAATGAAATTGCTTGGTACCAATTCAAAAAAAAAAACTTATTGTGAAAACATGACGTGCAATGAACCAGTCCAGTAAGAACATGGCTGAATCAAATATTTACGTTAACAGGATAGAGCACAAGAGTTTGCTCAAAGTTCGCGAACCATATTTGACTGACAAAGCCCGGTAAAGAAGAAAAACACGATGCTATCCATGCATGCCCTGCCAAAACCAGCTCGCCGGCCAGGGGTTAGGAATCAGTATTTGGTACGGTAGCACTTTCGTTTATATTTGACAATTATTGTCCAATCATGGTCTAACTAGACTCAAAAGATTCGTCTCGTAATTTACAATCAAACTGTATAATTAGTTATTTTTTTTATCTACATTTAATACTCCATGCATGTATCAAAGATTTGATGTGATGGAAAGAGAGTGAAAAAACTTGCAATCTAAACGAGGCCTAATTGTTGTTGACATTGCAACTGAGTTAGTTGATCCGAGGAGGAGAAGAGCATGCAGAGACAAACGAAAAAGAAACGACAACAAAGACATGACGCGACGTGGCCCAACAAAACGCATTTGTATTCCTAAGAATCGAATCGGCTGAGGACGAAGAGACAGGAGAGGTCTGAAACTCCGGGGGCTTGGAATCGGGAATAAGAGTTCAAATTCGCTCGGACCACTCCAAACCCCCAAATCTCGTCTGTCTAAGCTGGCACAACAGAAAGTCCGCGGAACCGCGTAAACGATCACGGCGGCCGCGCCGACAAAATGCATGGCGCGTCAGAGGCGGGGACCGCGCACGGGATGGCATAGTTACCTGAACGGACCGCCGGCGTGCGGCAGGGCGGGGATCAGGATCGCCGGCTCGCCGCTCCTGCATAGGCGGCGTGCGTGCGTGCGTGGTGCGTGCGGAGGAGGCGGCGGCGGCAGCGGCAGCGGAGGTGCTCGCGTGACGCGCTTGCTTGGGCGCAAATCAAACGCGGGAGGGATATGCTCGCGGTCGCGGCTCGCGCTGGCGTCTCTCTCTGCTAGTCTGGCTTGTGGCCGCCTTACCTTGGTTCCGTTCCGTTGCGACCTGCGAAGCCATTAAAAGGGCGTGGGTGGGTAGGGGACGCCTCGGCACGGGTTTCCCGTTTCTCCACCTTGGACGGGCCCCACAATCCGCAAGGTCGGCTGCACCGGGCCCAACTGCAAGTGACAGTGCGGCGGAGATGTGTTGTCGTTGGTCTTGGCCTTTTCCTCCTCCTGCTACCGTGTCATTTTGTTTTTATTTGGTAATAATTGTTCAATCGTTGACTAATTAGGCTTAAAACGTTCGTCTCGCAAAGTACAACTAAACTATGCAGTTAGTTTTTGATTTCGTCAACATTTAGTACTCCATGCATGTACCGCAAATTTAATGTGACGGAGAATCTTCTTTTTGCATAGTGCCAAATTCTAAAAAATTGGGGAACTAAACTCCTTCCTGCGTGTTCGTGTGTGCCCTGTGTCAGCAGCCGTGGAGGACCCGCCCAGGCCAGGTGTAGCTCAAGATGGCAACGGGTATGTACCCGATGGGTACTGACCACCCGTACCCGCACCTGCCAGATCAAAATCTTACCCGTCGGGTTACCCGTACCCGTAGACGGGTAGAAAATTCATTCCATACCCGCACCCGACGGGTAATTCTTACCCGACAATATACCCGAGTTCACACACTAAAATATAATAGCTTCCAGCAAAACAAATCAACAATAGAGCAGCAAAATAGAAATATGGGCCGGTGGAGTGGAGTGAGGATGAGGATTAGGGTTTGAGGGAGTTCTGGAATATATATACTCATATGCTTATATGGGCCAAATATGAGCTATATGCTTATATGGGCTAAAATTGCAGAGGTTGGATATTATTTATACGATTTTTTTTTATCCGCGGGTATGCGGGTATGGGTAGTATACACCAACAACCGTACCCGCATACCCGATGTGTACAAGAATTCGTCCAATAACGTATCCGCGGGTGTAAAATGTCTTCCATACCCGCCTCCTTATCGGGTAAAACCCGTCGGGTACTCGGGTTTCGGGTACCCGTTGCCATCTTGAGGTGTAGCGTAGCGATAGCGTAGACAGGCTTTTACGGCGGCGGCCAGGGGCACTCTGGACGGGTCAGGGGCGCCCTGGGTCCACCTGTCTGCGGACCGCGGGCGGATGTTGTGCTTTCACCTGGCCATGGTCAAACGTGTCATTAGCGGCGGGCCAGCAACGGCACGAGCGCCATGATGATTACCAGGGCAGCAGCAGCCAGCGACGAAACTGAATGGATGGACGGCGCGGGGCAGGACATGCTTTTGAGTCTACGCTAGGAGGAGGATTGTTCGCCACTTCTAGTATTAACGGCAGAGCTTCTTCCAGCGTCCCTGCTCACGGCCAGATTCACGCAGCAAAAACATTTTTCTCTAGTATTCGATTCAGAATCTGAAGCGTTCTGCACACGGTTCGCATCACGGCATCAGTGTGGCTTGTCTGTGACTCTGTGTAGGGTTGGCCACGGCACCAAACGCTTCGGCCATAGGCACACACGACATAAAAATCACTGAGCACCAACACGACATAAAAAGGTCACGGACAGTGAGCACCGAGCTTGGCAGTGAAACCCTGGCCCACCCGCCGGTGAAAATGCCGGAGAGGCCCAAACCGACGACGCCGGCCGGGCTCTCAGCTCTGGGCAGTGGCCGCTTTGAGTGGGCCGGGCCGCACCGCGCAGAACGATGAGATGGGATGAGCCGATGAGGCTGCGTCGGTGACGCCGATCCAATTCCTTCCAGTAATCCAATCTCCCACTGTCTAGCCGGACCGGAGGCAACAGCGAGTCCCGCAGGCCATGCTCTCCGCCGCCGCCGCCGCAGCGTTCGTCATACCCCGGCTCCGCTGCGCGACGCGACCGCGGCTGAGGCGGCCGTCGGCTAGGACTTACTGGCCGCGGCCGCTCTCCTCCTCCTCTAACCACGTAACGCCCGCGGCGGCTGCGGGGGCGGGGCCGGGGGAGCTGGAGCCGCCGGACCTCACCCGCTTAGCCAACGCCGCGCGCATCACGCTCTCCCCACAGGAGGTCAGTTGGCGTCCTGCTTTCTTTCTCTTGATGATGTCAAACATCCTGATTCTCTCCGCACATGAGAGGCTGACGCTTTGCTCGTGTTCTCTGTGTGCTGGCTCGCTAGTCCCAGGACTTCGAGCCCAAGATTCGGCAGGTCGTGGATTGGTAAGCTTTTGCTACCTATTCTCTTCTGTTTGCAATTGGATAATTCAAGGGCCGGTTTGTAGTGCTTGCAGATTGCAGATCGTGAAATCCTGCGAGACGAGGTAGTCCCTCTTCTAGGCATTTTTATTTGGGGAACCAATGAACACATGCCGTAGTGCATTGCCAATTTCAGACTGGAAATGCTTTGGGTGATTCGAATACTGAAGTAATGTTCAGTACCTTTTGCAGACTGTAAATATATCTCACTATGATCCCTCTAAAGTCAGCAATTCAAGTCCCTCTAACTTAAGTTAGAGGAGAACCATCCCTAAAGTCATCCAAATATACACATCATCCTCACAACTTCACCATGAAAACAATAGCTGCCAATTGTTGTATAAGATGTTGAGGAGTAGAAAACACATGGTTCAAAGCGGTGGGAGACCAACCAGATGAACATCCTCAGTCGACAGTCGACACCCTTGCACCAATGAAGGCACCTTTCTAGGATGAATAGGACACTGTTTTTTTAAACTGAATAAGGCAGCGTCAATTTTTTGTAGTAAACAATGCAATATGAACATCTTAAAAGACCGCATCTAGTTTCCTGTCGCAGAACACCACAAACGTCACAAGCTCCATCACAATTAAGTTAATGGGTATGTTTTTAGATGTGTATAACTTGATCAGAGTAGATGTTTTTATTTTGTGTAGTTATGTGATTCTTAATCGCAAAATAGGAAGATCATGAATGTTTCATACTATGGGGGTGTTGGGTTTTGATTTCTATTTGTATGCACTGCAAGAAAATCAAAGCTTGACTGGTTATTTTGGGGTACAACTTAGCTGCTCTTTGTTTTTATTCTTTACAGGTTTGGGCAACTTCAGGCAGTAGATCTTGAGTCCATTGTGCCTTCACTTAGAGCTGGTATGCATCTTGGTGGCATTATCATGATTGATTATTGTTTATTAGCGTCTCTTGATTTGCTAGAACTTGGAAAGCATAAAGCCTTTCCCACTTCAATAAGCATGAAAACTTGATTTACTAATACTAAGTTCCCTATCCCAATTGGTTGTGACACGATAGAAGGCTTCTAGTAGCATTTAGCCATCTGCTCCATACTAGCACCGTGCTTGACATCATGTTAACATCACTTGATTTACTAGAATTTTGAAGACATAAAGCTCAAACTATCCTCGATGTGTGTGAAAACATGATTTACTGAGTTACCTATCCCAATTAGTTGTGGCACTGTTCGCAAAAAAAAATAGTTGTGGCACAGTAGAGGGCTTCTAGTGAGCATTTAGCCATTTGTTTCATACTAGTACTGTGCTTGGCATCATATGTGAAATGGAAGAATCACGAGAGAAGGATTATAATGTCATCAGTTAATTATATTTTAAACAATTAATTCTGAATTCTAATGCTTTCGTCCAAAAACCAAATATTTTATTTGATTCCCTACCCCCAAAACCCCAAAAGAAGAAAAGGTGTACTGCAATGTTATTATTTTGTTCCTAGAGCTGTCATGATTAAAGAGTTCCTAACAGCCCGTTACACAATGCTTATTAACTGTTAGTCTGTTTCTGTATGTTTATTTCAGCGGATTACCATTTTACATGTTCCACTATCTCATCCACAGGTACAACGGCAGATAGTTCTTTGAGAGAAGATAAGCCTGAAACATTCGATAACAGGTGAGCAAGGCAATGTCTCTTCCATGATTTTCACTAAAGCACTACTCCCTCTTGTTCCTAAATATCTGTCATTTTCGCTTTCCAAGAAACAACTTTGACTAAATATATATTAAAATATATTAATATTTATGGTACATAATTAATATCATTGGAAAGATCTTTGAATCTAGTTTTTTAATAAATTTATTTGGAGATACAAATGTTGCACGTATTTTCTAAAAATCGAGTTAAACTTGCGGCACGCACACCAACGGCGACAATTATTTTGGGACGGAGGGAGTACATGCTTTGCAACGAAAGCCTGAGTTTTCTTTTTCTTTTTTTGTTTTTTGTCAATGCAGAGATGCCATAGTGGAGGCCATTCCAAGTTATGATGATTCATATATCAAAGTGCCAAGAGTGCTGAACAAAGAATGATATGTAGCCTGTATATCAAAATTGTTAGAATATTAAAACTCGTGCCATTTGTACAATGCAGCATGGTTAAACATAATGATAAAATCTGCAAAAAGATTGAACGAGCCATCAGCAAGCTGAATTGATTTTGTGCATTTCAATTTGATAATGCTGTGATTGAACAGAGCAATCAGCAACCTTGCATTGGGACAGGATAACAGGAAAGATTTTGGGAGATCTGCTTCAGGAAATACCTTGTTTTTTAATGCAATTGTTTTGCTCTCTCACACGTACTAAGGGCCTGTTTGGCAGGGATTCACCAGCTCCAGATTCACTATTTTCAGCTCCACTCCACCAAAAATTTCCCAAACATCCTAGATCCACCAAATTCAAATCCACCAAAGCGTTGTGATTCATCAAATTGGTGGAGTCTTCCCCTCGTGAAGTTGGATAAAAAGCCCGCGCCCCATCCTGAGCCCTCTAATTTCAATTCCATTGAGATTATGCTATGTTAAAGGCCTTTGTCAATCAGACCGCCTGGAGAGGCGGCGGGCGGCCTCCAGGACCGCCATGGGTATCAAGCCTTTATAGTCAGCCAGCCCTTAACGCAGGCTGCCAACCCAAGCAAGCGGTAGTTCATATATTTAGATTATGGTCAATTGAGTGGTATCAAAGCCAACCCTATATTTAGGGTTGAGAATGTGGTGGTCCCAATCTTAAGTCTGTAATTACAGGATTCTTGTTGCTGCCCTCTGCTCTGGAGCAAGCTATCGGGTATTGAATTAGATGGAGCAATCGAGTAGAGCAGGCATCGATGAGTAGTCTTATCGCATTTGATTCAGAATGTCTAGCGGATTTGATTCAGAATGGCTAGGTTGGATGTTTATTGTTGTGATCACATTTCACAAAAATTGTATGATAAGCTTTCTTAAAAAAAAATGTCTGATGGTTTGTTGTCCAAGCACTGACATGTATATGAAATTCATACAAGAAGCATGGCACCTTAGTGACAATGATCATACAATTTTGGGTTCGTACCTGCACAAATGGACGGCTAACTTATATATGAATAAGCATAGCATGGCCAAATTGAAGTCACATCTAGCCTAAACATGATTCTTTACCAGTATACTTGTTGCAATATATAAGTGTTGCATCCATGCCACTGAGATGGCTGGACGGGAGATCTGAGGAAACCAATGTGCCCGTTATTCTGCCATGTCACAAAATGATTTGTTTTTAACTTTTTTTTTTTTGCTAAAAACACAAACACAATGATTTGCTTTTACTTTCTGCTAAAAGATAATGAAACTGTTTCTCTGCTTCATCAAAGATGATTACCATGATTACTAACATCTAAGTACGCGAGATGAACCGTGTCAAATAGTTCAAGATGCTCTCCAATAAAGAATTCAGAATGCACAAGTCCACAAAATGGACGGCATCAAGAATGCATAACCCCACAAAATGGACCGCATCAAGAATTCAAGCTGTGAAATTCATGTCTTGATCAACAATAGCAACTACTCACAAGTCAATTGATCAACAATAGTAACTACTCAAAGTAAACTCTGCACGATGAATCACGTCAATAACTCAAGATGCTATTCTTCGATAAAGAATTCAAGACAAAAACGTCCACAAGATTGACCACGTAAAAAGTCTATGGCCTAAATCGTTAATAATTCAGGATGCTATTCTTTGATAAAGAATTCACGACGCAAACGTCCACAAGATTGACCACGTAGAAAGTCAATGGTATCTACTTCGACAATATTGCTTAAAACGTTCAATGGTGTCATGGTGCTTAACTGCTTCATGGCAAACGATTCATAAAACTGTTGGGATTCCTTTTAGGCCCCGTTCGTTTCCTGGAGAATAGACACCGGGAATAATTCTCTGCCAGAACCGTTACTTAATTTATATAAGTTTTCATTATCCGGAACGATTCCTGGCATCAAAATGCCCTAACCGAACGAGGCCTTATCCAGATTCTAAAATCTGTTGGGATCCAAACGGCACCCTAGTGGGCTAGACAACCCTGTTTATTTTAGCTTGCAGATTATGGATTATTTTTGCAGGTTGTTCCCATGTGAAAATCCACAGGTCAAACTAAAAAGGTCTCAACGCAGGACAGATTCATCACACATCAGGATTCACACATTAAAAGGGGATATGTCAAATTCTGACTGTTAGAGCCGAATGATCTAATTTCCCCTGGCTTGTAGATTGTAATAATCTGCAAGCTAAAATAATCACACTAGCTATTTTCAGATCAAATTCAGCATTTTCTGATTGTTCGTATTTCAAAGTCTTGACAGAATATCCAACGTTAATTTCTACTTTACATAAATTCTTGAGTCGGCAGCCTTGAGAAATGCAACTAGGCTGCACATTGTTGTTTCTGCACCCCAGCATAAACAAGACTGCAGCCGTCCTTTTTCAGACCCACCATGGCACACAATCTACACCATGCTCCACTCCCAAATCACAGTCTACTTTTTGAACCTTTGTAAGAAAACAATTGGCTCGACATCGTGCTTCCTTTGAATTTGTTCTTTATGGTCAAACTTCAACCCTAGATTTGAAGTCATAGGAATGGAAAAAACGAATTAATGCCAAGAGGAACAAAATTCAATTGGTGGTGCAGATTCTGGTCAGAACGTCAACTGTTTTCATGGAGAGGTAGTAGTTATCAACAATTAATTAGCTCACATATAACTACACAAACCTGCTGACTCATCAGAATCTCAATGGCAACATTTGGATCTCCATCAGCTGCAGCAAGAGCAACTTCAGCCTGAGTCTGCAGCAATATGATCAATTCATCAGTGAGGTAGCTGACAGCCATAGCATATACGTACAACATAAGCAAAACCAGAAATGTGGATGAAAAACTGAAACGACTGTGGGCTCTTAAAAAACATGTGGCTATTAAGGTGTGATCTTTGCCTTCTAACATTAGTATAACCTAGCACGCGTATCCCCCAATGCACTTACCTGAAACCTCTGAAAAATTCATCAAAACAGGCAAACACAGATAACCAACAGCGGAAATAGGCCATTTTTGTTTTTGTTGAAGCACTTTGTTGTGAATCTTAATATAAGTGGCTTAGGTAGAGGCCAGGACATGATCAAACAGTATACCATCATGATAGGATAAATGGGAAATGTACTAAATGCAATGAAGCAATTAACATTCAGGACAAGACTTGAAATACCTTTTCAAAGCCCATCCCAACCAGCTTCTTAAGTTCTTCATCAAATGTATCAACCTGCAGTAAGGATGTAACCAAGAACTGTTACTAAACCAATAGAAAACCAATAAAAATCAAAATAAGGTACAGAACACGGAACCTGCTCAGCTGTCACCGTTGCATCAGCTCTGACTGTGTTCACAGCTGTATGCCTGTTGATATGAGCCTCATATTAGAGTACTGATTCACAGATGTGTTGATAACAACAAAATGAAACACTTTTGAGGAAGATTTTTTATATTAGATATATAGAAAGAAAGAACAAGCATTAGGAGCTTTGTTTGCTTGCCTTACAATTAGCTCATAGCATGTGGTTGTCCACTAAATCTAAAATTCAAGATTAGAGATTACAGAAGCAGGTTGCACCATTCTCAGCACCCGAAAGAATTCAGGTTACCAGCAGTAACATACAATAAAAGTTCACTGTTGTAGTGTTGTCAACAACATTATCCATTTACAAAGCTAGATAATGGAAACCTGTGTTATTTATTTTTCATTTCAGTTATTGCTTCAGTATGCATGCTTCCACAATTGGTAAAATGTCTGCTGGGTCTGGGAAACAAAACCAAATGAACAGCAAGGCTATGAACGCGATCCAACATAAACTACCACTTCTCTTTGTATCACATACTATTATTATCTATGTGTCAATTAGTATAACTTCACTGGAGCAAGAATTTTCACATGAGATGCAAATATAATTGATTTGCTAAGTTACCATATCAACCATGTGTGCATCTGAATCACGCTCAAATTGGCTCAAGCACGTTGAGCTAAACTTGCTCACCAAAAGGCAAGCCTACAAGTGCTAAAAAAACAAACAAAGTTCCACTAGGATCCCTTGATACAACACAGAGTTTTACTTCAGATCATAGTCTTTACAAAAATGATTTCACAAAAATTTTCAAACAGAAACTTATTATCAATTTGTCAATCAAAAGGAAACTTATTACTGATATGAATTACTTCATAAGGGCTATGACAAAGCTTTTCAGGGGAGGATTTGACATACAGGAGGCAGGAAGTTTACAGTGCAAATAAAAGAACAAAAGACAAGGAAGTGCTAAAAAATAGTTTTGACCTAATTATTTAGAATAGACGAACAAAACATGAGTCCTAGTGTTTGCAAAAAAAGAGAACTTAGAAGAGATCATCTGATTTATTCCAAGTTGCCGTTGCTTCATGTGATTTTCTGATTTCAAAGCATACGTGGAAACACAGGATGTGTAATACATTAAAGCAATGTAAGTAGAAAATGCATTACTGTGTATTCGTTAGTGGATCACTTGGAGTTGTGTTATCCAACAACCTAGCATGCAAATGTGCACTTGCCTCCCTTGCAGTGGGCTCAGTTCCTGCAGAACCAAGTGTTCGTGCTCTCCCAGGAAACCTTGGGTCTTCTCCTTCCTAAAGGAGAAAAATCAGCAAATTCATAAGCTCACACTACCTTTGTTCCGAAAAGAATGCTGCTTTAGTTTGGCAAGTCAAACTATCTTAGGATTGACCAAGTTTATAAAGAAGATTATCAACGTTTATAATACCAAATAGGTACACTACAAAAATAGTTTGACTTAGGACAAAACTAGAATGAGATTCTTTTTGGACGGAGGGGGTATACAGGAAGTAGCTAATGACAACAAAACCTTTAGCTCCAAGCAAGATAGTTAGGTAACGCATATTTCAGAAAGATAGTTTATGAATTTGTAATGTACTGATCGACACAGAAGGACAATATTGTGACCTAGCACGTATCATGTGGTATTA